GCAAGAGCTGGGTTGAATCCGAATCCTCCTCCAAGTGCTGGGTTAACTCCAAATCCTCCATCCAATCCTCCAAGACCTCCACCCAATCCAAATCCTCCTCCCAATCCTCCAACGGGATCAAAACCTCCTAATCCTCCAAAGAATCTGGATTCCTTCTTGCCCGACTCAGCTTTGCTTCTGGAACGACCCTCGACGCCATCTGTTGCGTCATTGTCGTCGTCAGCAACCACGAGGGCGAAAATCGCGACCAGCAACAAAAGTCTCTTCATCTGAAAGAAGAAATATATATTTCTATTACAGAAAACGTACATCCTTTCAAGAAAACATGCACATTTTAAGATGTTTCACATGAACATTTTAAGATAACTGCGCTGCACTCACCTTTGGGGGATCAGTGTAGGCACCTAACTGCTGTGTGGATGAGCACAGTAGGTCTCCTTTATATACTGTTTGCAGCTGACCCTGAGACCGCCCTACATGCCACTGACCACATGTACCTCGTCCCGGTAGAAGATGCGTTTGCGTTTTTTATCATCGGAAGGCCACTTTTTGCAAAACATCACTTGTTTCAAGAATCCTATTTAACAGGAAAGAAAATATTTACTTGATGTGTGTATATATACATTTATGTGTATATACGTATATCTATACATATAAACGAACAAATATATAACAAATAAATATTGATTGATTATAAATATGCATCTAATTTATTTCCTTGCAATACCCTTCTCTGCTACATTTATATCTTTCTGCGTGTCTAGCAATCTACCCATCTATTTTGATAAAAAGGAACTGCACACTGTTCAGAGCAAATGAAAATTGGCTTACAAGTAAACTCTCCGTCTGAGGTGGATGACATGTGGGTGCGGAACGGAGGTGACAGTCAGGGATTTAAAAGTACCTAATGTGGCTGGGAAGTGAAAAGTTATATTAATAACATTTCTTTCCATAAGCGAATGATATTGGCCTATTGTGAAGTAACAGTGCCCGTTCGTGTACCTTAGGTTTTTTAAATAATGTGCATAACTAAAAAGAAAATACACAAAGGTTTTGGATACTGCATTCTTCCAGTTTCTTGTAGTTTCGGAAACCCTTATACTTATGGAAGGCAATGCCATAAGGTGTATATTGGCTGTGATGAACTTTTACCTAATTTGTAAAGAAAAATAGGATGTCTGAACGTCAGCTGCAATTAACTGTATTAAACCGTAATGCCCAAAGTGATATTTATCAATTAAGACAGCTGGGAAAGCTTTTTATTAGTCGACTACATGAAAACAAAAGTCATGAGGGCCACCTTAATACCATATACTGAAGTAGTGCTGAGATGTTATATATTATATGCTATTCAAAATATGACTGATAATGTGTATTTGTCATTGAAACTGATATGGTTATGCGTACACACACACATGTATATATACACACATTTATATACAAGTGGTGATTGTAGTTACGGAAATATGGATAGTGATAACAATCATCATAGATATATTAAGAAAGCAATACAAATATTAACGTGTACATATAAATATATCATACTTACATATGTGTGTATGTATATGTATGTATAGCCAAAATATATGTATACATACATATATATCAAACATTTGTATGTATAATAATTGTGTGTAGACGTATATATTACCAATGTATTATTTGTTATATCTATCATTATCATTCATACCTCTAGCTACATTTCCTCCACTTCGCCCGGATAACTACCCGTCTACTAAAAAGGACCAACTGTGTATTAGGCTGTCAGGCTTGAAACGGTTTCCCATTATAGTTATATATACTATAATTGTGTTTGAATGTATGTATATATACATACACATGTGTATATTATATAGGTAAATAGATTAGATATAGATATATAGAGATTTTATATGCATATGAATATAAACACATCCATGCTTTTGTCCGTATAATGCGTAATGGGATTACAGACCGTATTGCATACGTGTATAAGGACAGTAGTATAAGCATATACCCACATTACATCCGCCGAAAAAAAAGGATGTCTTTAACCCCTTTTTTTTTTTTTCTTCTTCTTCTTTTTTTTGAGGGAGTTGCCTTTGTTTTTTGGTTGTTAGTTTATCCGTCCTGTAATCAAGAAGGTGAAAAGCGACAAGAGTGATCTTTTCTATGTGGTTAATTCCAAATAGTTCAGCATGTGCTGAAGCGTGTTGTTTTAATTTGGCAGTGTATGCATGTAAACTGAGGCAAGATTCAAACAGACATAGTAATGGTATTAGATTTTATCTATTTTTTATTATACATTGTATTTACATCTTTTTTACATACGTTTCAATGGACGAAAACATTAATGTTCATGAAATCATCCTACCTCGAAAAGGCAATGATGAATTTCACTGAACAGCTTAATTTTCCCAAGGATATCTATCGCCCAATGCCCAGAGGAGCCTTGCACACGTGCTCGCCGAGACACCTGTCGAAGCAACACTTGTCGATGCCTCCGCAAGCGCCGTCGTTAGAGCAAGTGAATGGTGGCTGGAAGCTCCTAAGAGGACACACTGGACGAACGGGGGGACAGAATCCCGGTTTGACTACACCGGCAGCACTCTGTGGCTGGTTGATGTTCTCACAGCAGTAGGCCTGACCTTCGGGTTCCTGCACCAGTAACGGCATGTGGAGGGAGGAGCCACAGGAGTGAATGCAGGATTTACTCCTCCGAAGGCAGGGTTTACTCCAAATCCGCCTGCAAGAGCTGGGTTGAATCCGAATCCCCTCCAAGTGTTGGGTTAACTCCAAATCCTCCATCCAATCCTCCAAGACCTCCACCCAATCCAAATCCTCCTCCCAATCCTCCAACGGGATCAAAACCTCCTAATCCTCCAAAGAATCTGGATTCCTTCTTGCCCGACTCAGCTTTGCTTCTGGAACGACCCTCGACGCCATCTGTTGCGTCATTGTCGTCGTCAGCAACCACGAGGGCGAAAATCGCGACCAGCAACAAAAGTCTCTTCATCTGAAAGAAGAAATATATATATATTTCTATTACAGAAAACGTACATCCTTTCAAGAAAACATACACATTTTAAGATGTTTCACTTGAACATTTTAAGATAACTGCGCCGCACTCACCTTTGGGGGATCAGTGTAGGCACCTAACTGCTGTGTGGATGAGTACAGTAGGTCTCCTTTATATACTGTTTGCAAGGCTGACCTGAACCGCCCTACATGCCACTGACCACATGTACCTCGTCCCGGTAGAAGATGCGTTTGCGTTTTTTATCATCGGAAGGCCACTTTTTGCAAAACATCACTTGTTTCAAGAATCCTGTTTAACAGGGAAGAAGTATTTACTTGATGTGTGTTATATATACATTTATTGTATATACTTATATCTATACATATAAACGAACAAATATATAACAATAATATGATTATATATATATATGCATCTAATTTATTTCCTTGCAATACCCTTCTCTGCTACATTTATATCTTTCTGCGTGTCTAGCAATCTACCCATCTATTTTGATGAAAAGGAACTGCACACTGTTCAGAGCAAATGAAAATTGGCTTACAAGTAAACTCTCCGTCTGAGGTGGATGACATGTGGGTGCGGAACGGGTGACAGTCAGGGATTTAAAAGTACCTAATGTGGCTGGGAAGTGAAAAGTTACATTAGTAACATTTCTTTCCATAAGCGAATGATATTGGCCTATTGTGAAGTAACAGTGCCCGTTCATGTACCTTAGGTTTTTTAAATCTTAATGTGCATAACTAAAAAGAAAATACACAAAGGTTTTGGATACTGCATTCTTCCAGTTTCTTGTAGTTTCGGAAACCCTTATACTTATGGAAGGCAATGCCATAAGGTGTATATTGGCTGTGATGAACTTTTACCTAATTTGTAAAGAAAAATAGGATGTCTGAACGTCAGCTGCAGTTAACTGTATTAAACCGTAATGCCCAAAGTGATATTTATCAATTAAGACAGCTGGGAAAGCTTTTTATTAGTCGACTACATGAAAAGAAAAGTCATGAGGGCCACTTTAATACCATATACTGAAGTAGTGCTGAGATGTTATATATTATATGCTATTCAAAATATGACTGATAATGTGTATTTGTCATTGAAACTATTATGGTTATGCGTACACACACACACACATGTATATATATATATATATATATATATATATATATATATATATATATATATATACACAAGTGGTGATTGTAGTTACGGAAATATGGATAGTGATAATAATCATCATAGATATAATAAATAAAGCAATACTAATATTAACGTATACATATAAATATATCATACTTACATATGTGTGTATGTATATGTATGTATAGCCAAAATATATGCATACATACATATATATCAAACATTTGTATGTATAATAATTGTGTGTAGACGTATATATTACCAATGTATTATTTGTTATATCTATCATTATCATTCATACCTCTATCTACATTTCCTCCACTTCGCCCGGATAACTACCCGTCTACTAAAAAGGACCAACTGTGTATTAGGCTGTCAGGCTTGAAACGGTTTCCCATTATAGTTATATATACTATAATTGTGTTTGAGTGTATGTATATATACATGTGTATAATATATAGCTAAATAGATTAGATATAGATATATAGAGATTTTATATGCTTATGAATATAAACACATCCATGCTTTTGTCCGTATAATGCGTAATGGGATTACAGACCGTATTGCATACGTGTATAAGGACAGTAGTATAAGCATATACCCACATTACATCCGCCGAAAAAAAGGATGTCTTTAACCCCTTTTTTTTTTTTTTTTTTTTTTTTTTGAGGGGGTTGCCTTTGTTTTTTGGTTGTTAGTTTATCCGTCCTGTAATCAAGAAGGTGAAAAGCGACAAGAGCGATCTTTTCTATGTGGTTAATTCCAAATAGTTCAGCATGTGCTGAAGCGTGTTGTTTTAATTTGGCAGTGTATGCATGTAAACTGAGGCAAGATTCAAACAGACATGGTAATGGTATTAGATTTTATCTTATTTTTATTATACATTGTATTTACATCTTTTTTACATACGTTTCAATGGACGAAAACATTAATGTTCATGAAATCATCCTACCTCGAAAAGGCAATGATGAATTTCACTGAACAGCTTAATTTTCCCAAGGATATCTATCGCCCAATGCCCAGAGGAGCCTTGCACACGTGCTCGCCGAGACACCTGTCGAAGCAACACTTGTCGATGCCTCCGCAAGCGCCGTCGTTAGAGCAAGTGAATGGTGGCTGGAAGCTCCTAAGAGGACACACTGGACGAACGGGGGGACAGAATCCCGGTTTGACTACACCGGCAGCACTCTGTGGCTGGTTGATGTTCTCACAGCAGTAGGCCTGACCTTCGGGTGTCCTGCACCAGTAACGGCATGTGGAGGGAGGAGCCACAGGAGTGAATGCAGGATTTACTCCTCCGAAGGCAGGGTTTACTCCAAATCCGCCTGCAAGAGCTGGGTTGAATCCGAATCCTCCTCCAAGTGCTGGGTTAACTCCAAATCCTCCATCCAATCCTCCAAGACCTCCACCCAATCCAAATCCTCCTCCCAATCCTCCAACGGGATCAAAACCTCCTAATCCTCCAAAGAATCTGGATTCCTTCTTGCCCGACTCAGCTTTGCTTCTGGAACGACCCTCGACGCCATCTGTTGCGTCATTGTCGTCGTCAGCAACCACGAGGGCGAAAATCGCGACCAGCAACAAAAGTCTCTTCATCTGAAAGAAGAAATATATATATTTCTATTGCAGACAACGTACATCCTTTCAAGAAAACATACACATTTTAAGATGTTTCACATGAACATTTTAAGATAACTGCGCCGCACTCACCTTTGGGGGATCAGTGTAGGCACCTAACTGCTGTGTGGATGAGTACAGTAGGTCTCCTTTATATACTGTTTGCAGCTGACCCTGAGACCGCCCTACATGCCACTGACCACATGTACCTCGTCCCGGTAGAAGATGCGTTTGCGTTTTTTATCATTATCGGAAGGCCACTTTTTGCAAAGCATCACTTGTTTCAAGAATCCTATTTAACAGGGAAGAAAGTATTTACTTGATGTGTGTATATATACATTTATGTGTATATACGTATATCTATACGTATAAACGAACAAATATATAACAAATAAATATTAATTATATATAAATGTATCTAATTTATTTCCTTGCAATACCCTTCTCTGCTACATTTATATCTTTCTGCGTGTCTAGCAATCTACCCATCTATTTTGATAAAAAGGAACTGCACACTGTTCAGAGCAAATGAATATTGGCTTACAAGTAAACTCTCCGACTGAGGTGGATGACATGTGGGTGCGGAACGGAGGTGACAGTCAGGGATTTAAATGTACCTAATGTGGCTGGGAAGTGAAAAGTTATATTAATAACATTTCTTTCCATAAGCGAATGATATTGGCCTATTGTGAAGTAACAGTGCCCGTTCATGTACCTTAGGTTTTTTAAATCTTAATGTGCATAACTAAAAAGAAAATACACAAAGGTTTTGGATACTGCATTCTTCCAGTTTCTTGTAGTTTCGGAAAACCCTTATACTTATGGAAGGCAATGCCATAAGGTGTATATTGGCTGTGATGAACTTTTACCTAATTTGTAAAGAAAAATAGGATGTCTGAACGTCAGCTGCAATTAACTGTATTAAACAGTAATGCCCAAAGTGATATTTATCAATTAAGACAGCTGGGAAAGCTTTTTATTAGTCGACTACATGAAAACAAAAGTCATGAGGGCCACCTTAATACCATATACTGAAGTAGTGCTGAGATGTTATATATTATATGCTATTCAAAATATGACTGATAATGTGTATTTGTCATTGAAACTGATATGGTTATGCGTACACACACACATGTATATATATACACACATTTATATACAAGTGGTGATTGTAGTTACGGAAATAATGATAGTGATAACAATCATCATAAATATAATAAATAAAGCAATACTAATATTAACGTATACATATAAATATATCATACTTACATATGTGTGTATGTATATGTATGTATAGCCAAAATATATGTATATATACATATATATCAAACATTTGTATGTATAATAATTGTGTGTAGACGTATATATTACCAATGTATTATTTGTTATATCTATCATTATCATTCATACCTCTATCTACATTTCCTCCACTTCGCCCGGATAACTACCCGTCTACTAAAAAGGACCAACTGTGTATTAGGCTGTCAGGCTTGAAACGGTTTCCCATTATAGTTATATATACTATAATTGTGTTTGAGTGTATGTATATATACATACACATGTGTATATTATATAGGTAAATAGATTAGATATAGATATATAGAGAGATTTTATATGCATATGAATGTAAACGCATCCATGCGTGTCCGTATAATGCGTAGTGAGATTACAGACTGTATTGCATACGTGTATAAGGACAGTAGTATAAGCATATACCCACATTACATCCGCCGAAAAAAAAGATGTCTTTAACCCTTTTTTTTTTTTTTTTTTTTTTTTGAGGGGGTTGCCTTTGTTTTTTGGTTGTTAGTTTATCCGTCCTGTAATCAAAAAGGTGAAAAGCGACAAGAGTGATCTTTTCTATGTGGTTAATTCCAAATAGTTCAGCATGTGCTGAAGCGTGTTGTTTTAATTTGGCAGTGTATGCATGTAAACTGAGGCAAGATTCAAACAGACATGGTAATGGTATTAGATTTTATCTTATTTTTATTATACATTGTATTTACATCTTTTTTACATACGTTTCAATGGACGAAAACATTAATGTTCATGAAATCATCCTACCTCGAAAAGGCAATGATGAATTTCACTGAACAGCTTAATTTTCCCAAGGATATCTATCGCCCAATGCCCAGAGGAGCCTTGCACACGTGCTCGCCGAGACACCTGTCGAAGCAACACTTGTCGATGCCTCCGCAAGCGCCGTCGTTAGAGCAAGTGAATGGTGGCTGGAAGCTCCTAAGAGGACACACTGGACGAACGGGGGGACAGAATCCCGGTTTGACTACACCGGCAGCACTCTGTGGCTGGTTGATGTTCTCACAGCAGTAGGCCTGACCTTCGGGTGTCCTGCACCAGTAACGGCATGTGGAGGGAGGAGCCACAGGAGTGAATGCAGGATTTACTCCTCCGAAGGCAGGGTTTACTCCAAATCCGCCTGCAAGAGCTGGGTTGAATCCGAATCCTCCTCCAAGTGCTGGGTTAACTCCAAATCCTCCATCCAATCCTCCAAGACCTCCACCCAATCCAAATCCTCCTCCCAATCCTCCAACGGGATCAAAACCTCCTAATCCTCCAAAGAATCTGGATTTTCTGCCCGACTCAGCTTTTTGGAACGACCCTCGACGATCTGTTGCGTCATTGCAAACCACGAGGGCGAAAATCGCGACCAGCAACAAAAGTCTCTTCATCTGAAATTCAATATGAAGCATAGGGTAAGATTAAATCTGTGACAAGTAGGGACAGCACAATTAGCTAGTTATATATATACTTGGATGTACAGAGAGAAATGTCCAAAATGCACGATCAAATAAGAATTGTTAGCACACCTTCTGAGGATCAGTGCAACCACCTAACTGCTGTGCAGAAAGCTCGAGCAGGTCTTCTTTATATACTACCGCCGTTCACCTTGAGATCGACCCACATGATGTAGGTCGTGAATACCCATTTCCGGCTGGAGTGCTGTACCTAATATTGATAGATGGATAGACATTTTGAATTTGTGCACACGCGTGTGTGTGTGTATGAATAGGTATATGCCTTCAGTAACTGTTTAACATTTATCTTGTTTTTTTTTTTTTTTTTATTGCTCTTGAAATTATATCTATGGTTACCTTTATAATGATTATTCATACTCTTATTTATATTATCATTATCATCATCACATTGGTATTAGTCTCGTTATGATAATAGTAGTAATACTATAATTGTTAATATTAGTACTTTAGTCAATTAGAATCATACATTGCATCTTTGTTTCCCGTATTAACATTGTCATTGGTTTCAACGGACTTATTGTATTTTTTCATTAACATCATTATCATTAATATATTTTTATTAAAATTTACCTATCTTCCTTTAAGACTGTAAGCGTCAGAAAGAGCAGAACCAAACCACTGTCGTAACATCTCCGAAACCCCTAACACTGTGATACACTTTGATGCATTCTCAGACATGTTTGCCCTGTACACGAGCATTATTGGAACCTACTGAAACACCTTTCATGTTTGCATCAGATTGTATGCCTCTGCCTTTAAACAGTGTGTTATATTCCGGCCAGTCAATCAGAGAGATTTTTCATATATATTTCACGTTGTCTCAGATAAGCGTTTATATTTTCATTTATCAGTGTCTATAAAAATCGTTATTATATTTTTCCCATCTTACAACCTGGCATCGTACAAGGATTTCTAAACCACTCCCATAAAGCGCCGAGGGAGATTGCCTGTAAACCTCGCTATCCAGTGTGAGTAGATCAGCAATGTCCATGAAACAAGTCCAGATTCTGGTTCGATGATCTTTTAGTTGGGTCGTTTGGCGTATGGCTTGGTTCTGCTCTCTCAGGCGCTTCCCGTCTTGTGAGAAGTGGGTTTGCCGTTCTCACCATTACCATTATAATGATTATTTTCATTACCATAATCAGCACTACTGCCAATAGTAGTAGTAGTGATAAATCGTCACCATTACCGTATCACTGTAATTCTTATGATAATAAGAACACCGTCACTGTTATACTCTGTTATTACTATCACTATACAGCCATCTTTATTATTATCATTCCTAACACTATAATTGCTGCTGTCATCCTCTTTATCTTTACTATTGTTTCACTATCATTATCACTAGTGTCAGTACTACCTTTGCAATTATAATCTTTACCATTAATAAAACTAACTGCTAAATGGTCTATATCAGGGGTTCCCTTCATGAGGATCATGGCGCACTTTCTAAGTAGGCCATGAAGCACTATAAAATTATGGCGTCGAATAGAACTGAATTCTATTTCACCTGCACATAATTGTTTTCCGCATATCAATAGATTGAAATTTTCCACAAAGTGTTCGTGTCTTATAGCAATATAGCAACTGACACCATTACATATTCATAACCAGTAATAACTGAATCTGAAAAGGTGATAGTCACTGAACGGGCCGTGGAGGTTGTCATAAATTGGTCGGGGGAACAGAATGAAAAAACTGGGAGCCACTGGTCTGTCATTATTGTCAGTCATGGTTATCTGATGTCATTATTTATTATCATCATTAATATTGTTGTTGTCATGTTTATCATTATCATTGTTTTCATCATTTTTGTTATCATTATTAGTAGTAGTAGTAGTAGTGGTCATTATCAATATTATTATTATCATTATCATCATTGTTATTATTACTATTATCACTGTCATAATCATTATCTTTATCATCATAACTATGATTACTGTCATCGTCATAGTTATCATCATCACCACAGCTGTCATCGTCATAGTTATCTCATCACCATAGCTGTCATCGTCATCCCTATCATTACTATCATCATTATCGCCATCACCACCATTAACAGCAAGCACCACCACAACCATCATAACCGCACCCATCACCACCACCACCATCATCACTCTTACCATCCTCGCCACCACCACTACATCCTCATCTTCATCGGCATCTGCATCACCATCATCACCACAATCACCATCATAATAATCATCACCATTCCCACCACCATCCTCTCGTCACAATCACCATCAATATTCTCCATCATCATCATCATTATAACCCTCGCACTCATTATCATCATTGTGGCCTTCCTCTCCACCATCATCCGCTTGTCAGTGTCGAGATTTTTTTTCAATATTTTAATGGCAAACTAAACCGGTAAACTAAGATCAGTATACTTTTCGAAAATGAACATAAATGTTATTTGTTAACAAAAGAGAAAAAAAAAAAGAAAGAGAGAGAAAACCTAGAAAGAGAGAAAGCGAAAGAGAGAGAGAAAGAGAGAGAGAGAGAGAGAGAGAGAGAGAGAGAGAGAGAGAGAGAGAGAGAGAAAGAGGAGAGAGAGAGGAGAGAGAGAAGAGAGAGAGAGAAGAGAGGAGAGAGAGAGAGAGAGAGAGAGAGAGAGAGAGAGAGAGAGAGAGAGAGAGAAAAGAGAGAGAGAGAGAGAGAAAGAGAGAGAGAGAGAGAGAGAGAAGAGGGAGAAGAGAGAGAAAGAGGGAGAGAGAGAGAGGGATAGAGAGAAAAAAGGTGAGAGAGAGAGAGAGAGAGAGAGAGAGAGAGAGAGAGAGAGAGAGAGAGAGAGAGAGAGAGAGAGAAGAGAGAGAGAGAGAGAAGAGAATAAACGAAAACAGAAAGTAAAACAGAGTGAGAGAGAGAAAAAATAGATGGAGAAAATGGAGATAGTGTCATTATTGATATGATTTTAGAAGGAATGAATGGGTAGACCAACACGAACAGAAAAGAAAATTCAGAACAATTAAAGTTGATTAAAAAAGATATTAAGGTAAAATAAATGCAATCAAAACAACACGATGAAACATTGTGCCGAAGTCCAGTGTTAATCCCCATTGTGAATTCAAGCATCACCCGCATCAATTTCGAACTTACTTCTCACCAATTATCACGCCCAAGCACCCGACACCGGGGCTAAACATCGCCAGACCCTCTCGCGCCCGACATCCAAATCAGGTATTTTCAGGAAGTGCTGCTACAGGCCCCAGGGACGCCTTGCTTGGGGCTGAGGGACCCACTGCGTGAAGCGTGTCATTTGTTTTCACTCTTGTTCTTGGAAGGTAGTTTACTTCCGTATTTGTAGGTGTTTTGGTTGCGGTTTTTATTATTGTTTCTCTTCTTCTGCTTCTTTAGTGTTTTGTTTGCTTGTAGATGTGAGTGTTAACGTCATATGTGAAGCAGGTTTCCACATCCATTTGGGTTTTGTATCTACTAGGCCCACACACATACACACACACACACGCACACACACACACACATATATATATATGCACACACATGCATGTATATATATATATATACATATATATACATATATATATACATATATATATATATATATATATATATATATATATATATATATATATATATAATTTATTTATGTATATATATATGCATATATGTGTGTTTTTTTTACAGTAAAATAACTATCCTCCTTCTTCCTTTCCTTCTTCCCTCCCCTCCCTTCTCTCTTCCTCACCTTCGCTCTTTCCCTCATCCTTCTTCTCCCTGTCTTTCTCCATTCCTTTCCTTCTTCATCATACTCTCTCCCCCTTTTCCCTTCTTCCCCTCCCCTCCTCCCCTCCTCCCTCCTCCTCTCCTCCCCTCCTCCCTTCCTCCCTTCCTCCCCGCCTCTCTCCTCCTCTCCTCCCCTCCTCCCCTCCTCCTCTCCTCCTCTCCTCCTCTCCTCCTCTCCTCCCTCCTCCCTCCTCCTCTCCTCCCCC